ACCATCAACGCCCATCAGAGCGACGTGGCCTGTGTGTCCCTGAACCAGCCGGGCACGGTGGTGGCCTCCGCCTCCCAGAAAGGCACCCTGATTCGCCTTTTTGACACACAGTCCAAGGAGAAACTGGTGGAATTGCGCCGGGGCACTGACCCTGCCACCCTGTACTGGTGAGCGGAGGAGGGCATGTGCGGTGGGCTGGTGACCCCCTGCCACCTGGCCTGTGGGCGTCATTGCTGGTGTGTCTTCCAGCATCAACTTCAGCCACGACTCCTCGTTCCTCTGCGCTTCCAGTGATAAGGGCACGGTCCATATCTTCGCTCTAAAGGACACCCGTCTCAACCGCCGCTCCGCGTGAGTACCCCCTGCCCGGCCCGGCCCTGCCCCCACCCCTGCCCGTGTCCCCCACCTGGGCTCAGCCAGTGCTGCCTGCAGGCTGGCTCGTGTGGGCAAGGTGGGGCCTATGATTGGGCAGTACGTGGACTCTCAGTGGAGCCTGGCGAGCTTCACCGTGCCTGCCGAGTCAGCCTGCATCTGCGCCTTCGGTCGCAATACGTCCAAGAACGTCAACTCCGTCATTGGTGAGTGGGAGTAGCTCTTGCCTGGGGGTGCTGCGTGGGAAAGTCCGCAGTTTGGACCTGCCGGAACTGTAGGGCCTGGGAAGCCTGAGAGAGAGAGTGGGCGCTCAACTCCATCGCCGGAGGGAAGGCCTGGGGACAAAGGCCTAGACGTAGACCCTAGGCCATGGGACACCGGCGAGGAGAGGATTGGAGTGGGTGGCTTCGGCAGCTCTTAACCTTTTACCTGCCCTCCCCCTTCTTGCAGCCATCTGTGTAGATGGGACCTTCCACAAATACGTCTTCACTCCTGATGGAAACTGCAACAGAGAGGCTTTCGATGTGTACCTTGATATCTGTGATGACGATGACTTTTAAGGACACTGCGGGTTGTGCGAGGGACCTACAGCGGTAGACGGCAAAGCCTTCGGGGGGTCAGGAGTGCGGTGGGAGCTACCAGGCAGCGAGCGTTAATGGGGCCGGTGCCCACCTGGCCCGCAGCAGCGCAGTGCCGCAGCAGCTCACTTGTCCCTAAACACTTCTTGGTGACTGTGTGCCTGCAGGGCCAGGCCAGGGACCCAGGGAGGGAGGAGACCCCCTGGGACTCCCAGCCTGAAGACTGCTAGCGACCTAGAGGGAGTGCCCTAATTCAGCCTGTGGGGATTAAAAAACCTTCCCAGAAAGAGACCTCTCTAATGTGGTGAATATGAATAAAAGGCCCTTGATAGTGTTTCTGGAGCTGGAGCTGGACCTGGGGGGGCAGGGGTGGGGCCCGAAGGAGATGCCGCTGAAAAGGCCCTGCGGGAGTTTCCAAGTAGGTGTGGCCCTCTTGGACCCTGACTTGGAAGGAAGTGGGATCCTGCCCGAGTCCTTCTGACAGTCCCTATCTGTATGTCCCAGAATGTGTGTGTGCGCGTGTCCTAGAATGTCGGACCACTGTGTACTTGAGCCATCAGCACGGCTCAGAACAGCCCCTTGGGCGCCCCCACCTGGGGATGGGTGGGAGCGCCTCGCCCGGCGGCGGCGACTTGATTTCCCGGCAGCCCCTGCTGCCTTACAGTTCCGGCGTGTTGCTGGCATTTCCGGTCACGTGCATTGCTACTGCGTAGTCCGCCTGGGTGGTTGAGATAGCAGCCGTTGGACCTAGACTCCATTTCCCGGTGTCCCTCGCGGTGGCGCGGGGTGCAACGGGGGTTGTAGTCCGGCCGCTCTTCTGGCTGGTACAGCTACAACGACCGGCAGGATGTCGGAGGTGCGGCTGCCACCGCTACGCGCCCTGGATGACTTCGTTCTGGGGTCGGCGCGTCTGGCGGCTCCGGATCCGTGCGACCCGCAGCGATGGTGCCACCGCGTCATCAACAACCTCCTCTACTACCAAACCAACTACCTTCTGTGCTTCGGCTTCAGTCTCGCTCTGGCTGGGTGAGGGAGGGAGGGAGACGCCGGTTGGCCAGGGACGCCTGCGGGGCAGGGAGGGTGGACCCGTGGGGTTTTGAGGAACGGAGGGGGATGCAAGGCTGCAAGGGGGCGAGTTCATTAGAGATGGAAAATCTCCGGGGCATGGGAGGGGAGACTTGAAGGAAGTCGAACACGGTTATAAGGAGTGCCTTGGGTGGGATATGGCCTGAGGATGGAGAATGTGGGGCTGGAGGGGAAGATGGGTAAGGAAGTGGACCTGAAGATAAGGAGGGCCTGAAAGTGAAAGTGGGGGTGCAGGGGGAGGACGTGAGTGATGGGGCCCGATTAAGGCGGCCTTGGAGGACTTCGGGCAGAGACAAGGACAGGGATGTGGTGAAGTTGAAGGGTTGGGAGGGTGGGCTCGCGGAGGCTCTGGGCGTGGAGGGGAGCCTGGCTGTGATTGGAACGTTCCAGCAGCAAGTACCTCTTGGGGAACTTGAACCAAGAGGGAGGACCCAGAGGTGGAAGGCTTGAGACCAGAGAAGGATGGAGAACCTGGAGGGACTTGGGCAGGGCTGGAAGTTAAGAGTGGTACTGAAAACGTGGAAGGGGTTCTAGCAATGATGGAGGGAGAGATCTATAGGGAGTGGGGACCTGGATGGGGGACTTGAAGGGGAGGAAGCCTGGAAGGGGTCTTGTAAAGACTCTGGGCCCGCGGAGAGGGAAATGTCTGGAGACAGAAGGCCTGGAAGAGGAATCTACAGGGTTGGGCTCAAAGGGTGGATTTGGGGGCGGGGTCGGTGGGGTCTAGCGGGGGTTGGAGAGGGGTTAGAGAGGGGCCCCGCGGGGGGTAGGGCTGGAAGAAAAGAGCTGGCAAGGGCTGGGAGCCTGGAGGCTTAGGCCTAGCGGCATGAGAGGGCCTGAAACGGGAGAGCTAAGGAAGATGGGACTGTAGGATCGACGAAAAGGAAATGAGGGCCCCCAGGGCTCCTGGGAGTCGGGAGCCCTGGAGGGTGGACCCGTGGGGAGAGAGGACTGGCAGGAGTTTTTTGCCGCGCTGGGGGGCCCTGAGAGGGGGGAGCCAGGGCTCTTGGAGCCCGGGACTGGGTGGACGGGGAGGCTTGGAGGCTGGGCAGCCCTCGCGCCGTCGGCCGGGCTAGCTCAGTTCCGTTGTCCTCGCAGGTACGTGCGCCCGCTGCACACCCTCCTAAGCGCGCTGGTGGTGACGGTGGCCCTTGGCGCGCTGGTGTGGGCGGCTGAGACTCAAGCAGCCGTGCGCCGCTGCCGCCGCAGTCACCCCGCCGCCTGCCTGGCCGCAGTGCTCGCCGTCGGCCTGCTGGTCCTCTGGGCCGTGGGCGGCGCTTGCACCTTCCTGCTGAGCGTCGCCGGGCCCGTGCTTCGTGAGTACCCGCTGCCCGGCCATAGCCCGAGCAACGGCCGGCGCCTGCGCACAGCGGCAGGCCGGCCCTGCCCTAAGAGGGGGCTGGGACGCGTCGCCTTCCCCGAGCGCCTTCCCCCGCGTTGCCTCCCCTCTTCTGGGAACGCCCCTCTTACTAGCGCCCTTTCAGGCCGCGCTCCTGGTGCTCAGTGTCTTCCGCCGGCCACGTCCCTGTTACCTTGCGCCCTCCCTGCCCCGCCCCTGTCGCAAGGCTCCTTACTCGGCCACGCTTTCCGATCGCAGGCATCCTGACCACTGACCACTCTGCCGGCCTGCCCGTGCTCCAGTTCCCCTCTGTGGGCCCCCATTGGCTAAAAGCTGAGGTCTCAGCCCACTGACCCCACTCTTCTCGGCACTGCCCACAGTGATTCTGGTGCACGCCTCGCTGCGCCTGCGAAACCTCAAGAACAAGATCGAGAACAAGATTGAGAGTATTGGTCTCAAGCGGACGCCAATGGGGCTGCTACTGGAAGCGCTGGGACAAGAGCAGGAGGCTGGATCCTAGGGGTCTGAGATCTGTACCCAAGACCTGGAGAATGCCACCCCCACCCTGGCCCTGTATACCGGGACCCAGAGCCCTTTCCCAGCCCTTGAAGTAGAGGGCCCCGTCCAGTTCAAAAACCAAAGGACATCTGCCACCCTCCCCACCCCAGGTCCAAAATTGGGATATCCCTCCTACCCAGCCCCCTGTTACCTAGGGGACCACTCTTCCCCAGCCCTGAACTTGGGGCTTGGAGCCCAGGGCATCTGTAGCCAACCTCAAACTCTGGACCCAGAGATACTCCCCCACCCCCAATCTGGGACCCACCCATCTCCCATGCTCAGCCCCAAAGCTGGGATCTGGGACCAAGGCATTCTCTTGAACCTGGGGCTAATAAGGCTTTTCCAGACCCTACCCCAGCTTTGAAACCAAGTCAGGGCATTGCCAAATCTTGAACCCGGGTCCCAATGTTCCCAGCCCCCATCAGGACAAAGGATTCAGGCATCCTGACCCTGTTGAACGCGTGGTTCCGGGTGACCCACATGCCTCTCTCCAGCTCTGCTTAGGGATTCTGCCCCCTCTCCAAAGTTCCACAGTGATGAGGACCAAGGGGTGGGATGGGGTGGGGGTAGCCCTGACCCGGAATGGGGCATGTGTAATCAGTGTTACCGCAACAATAAAGGCTGTTGCATCGCTGAAGCCAACGTGGGCTTCGGGGTCAGGTCCGTGCATTTCAGTGGCCAGAAGTGGCCTTCTGCTTTTCAGTTCTGCTGGACTCTCTCTGCCTAGGTCGCTGTCAAGTACGTGGACTGAAGGGCGGGGGGAGCTCTCGGTCCCGTCCTCGAAGCAAGGGGTTCCCCTGGAGCAGCACAAACACGAGGCCATAAAGCGCGGCGTTGGCCATCACTTGCATCACCGAGGGCTCCCGTTCGGGGCCGGGAGGGATCTGAGCGCAGACAGCGGAACTTTCGCCCCGCATGCCAGCAAGTAAAGCCCAAGCGGACGCCATTATCACATGCTGTTTCCAGTGTGTGTTTTCTATAATCTGGCATCATGAAAATCTATTACCTGGTCCTAACTGCAGGTGTGGGCCCCCAAGGCCAGGCAGACAAGAGGAGTGACACGTGGGTTCGGTTTACACATTTATTGTAGAAATCCCCTTCCAGTGTGGGTAGTGTCTTGGGCCCAGATCCATTGGTAGAAAAAGAAAAGTTTAACACCAGGTAAAGGAGGTAGGGGGACCCCCACCTCCAGAAAGTCACAGAAAGGTATCATAGAAAACACAGCTTGTGTAGATTTGTTTTAAAAAGTGGTGGGTGGAAAGCAAGCCAAGGAAGATGTGACGCAGCTTTTGGCCAGCGGTCACCTGAGGATTTTACTGGCATCGAGCGGATGCCAGGCTTCACCACCACAGCATCCCAGGACGTGACACACCCAGCCGCTCTGCCCCCGGCCCCCCCCCGCACGGCCGGCTGCCTGACGGGGCTAGATAGCGCGGGGGCTGGGCCATCTCATCCTGCGGGTACAGGCAGCGGGCACAGACAGGCGGACAAGGACTGGGGCTCCCTCGGGCGCCCCTGGGGGTAGGAAAATGAACCGAAGCCCCCTACCCAGACTTCAGTCCTTCCAAATGTGGGCAGAGAGCCCACCTCCTCAAGAACTGGCCTGGTGGGGGGTGGCGGGGGGTCCTGTTCACACCAGAGTCTCCTGGCTGCCCCGAAAAGGGCCCTGAGACCCTATATGGTCCGTTTATTTTAGGGGGGTGGGGTTTCCTGAATGGAACAGGCTGGGCGTGGGGACAGGAATGAACCCAACCAGGACGAGATCACAGTTTCCCTTTTATAAAACGTCTAGTGTTGGGGGAAGACAGTGAAGACCTAAATCACAAGTGTAAACAGAAATGGAGAAAGGGGCCTGGAGTCCCTGTTACACCATTGCCCCTCTTAAGCTGGCTGAGGGCCCCAGTTCCCAGCACAGTGTGAGAGGGGAAGCAGGGTGTCAGACACCTTTGTGGGTCCACGAGGAGCCAGGGGCCTTGGAAGATCAGGTCGGCACCCCCCAGGACCGACAGCAACCACACCCCAGGGTTCAGCGAGGTCAGCTGTGCGCTCCCCCAGACTATAGTCGTGCCCAGGCCAACAAGGGGTGTATCAGAAGGGGTCAGACCAGCGTCCCCGGGGTCTGGGGGTCAGAACTGGAGGGCTGCTCCCCCTCTAGCGTCAGGTCACTTAAACGAGCGCTCAGCTCCGGGGGGTACAGGAAGTCCGCGTAGTATCTTTAGGAGGGGGAGCAGGAATCCGGACAGGGCGGCAAGACAGAGAAAGGAAAAGACGGACAAGACACAGAAAGAGAGGAAAAGAGGCTCGTTAAAGAGGCGGAGGCAGGCACAGGACAGCACCTTTAGGCTCGCAAGCATGGGGGCACGGCCAAAGGAAGAAGAGAAAGGTGAGGGCCCCGGGAGGCCCTTCCTCCCAGCACCCTGCTTTCAAGGCTCATTTTCAGCTGACATGCACTGTTTTGTTCAAATACTGGAATTCTTCTACAGCTTGGTAGACAACTGCCGCCGCTGCCAGGGCCCAAGACACCCCTCCACCGAGACCCCATGGACTCATGCAGGTCAGGCAGGGCCCAGGACCCCAGGCCGAGGCGGCGGCTAGTTCTCTCGCGGTCTGAGTCTTTAGCTACCGTGACTGGCTTGCCATCTGCCTCAAGAGACCCCTACCCGTCAGTAAAAGCCCCCCCCATACCTGCCGGAGACAGGGGGTGCCGTGAAACTCCTCGAGTGTGGGAGCGGCGCCTGGCTGGGGGCCCCGTACAGGGCCTGGCCCACCTCATAGCAGCGGGCATGGAGGAAGGGCGGGTGCTGCGGGCCCACGTGGGGGACCACAGGCCGCCGCTGCGGCCCGGCGGCCAGTCCCGAGTTGCGGATGTACCAGTCCCGCAGCCCCTCCAGGGCAAGGTTCTTGTGGCCGATGCGCTCCCCGGCCGGGGGGATCCGGGTGGGCGGGGGCATCCACAGCAGAGGGTTCGGATGCACGTCCGGCCCCTCGGCGGCCTCCAGGGGCAGGCCGCACGGCTTGGTGCGGGTGGCACGGGCGTGGGGGTCCTTGCTGCGGAGGAGGGGGCTGCTGCCGTCAGCTGCATACACGGGTGGTGGGCCTGGGAGCACGGTGAGGAGCCCGTCCCGGCGGGAGAGGGCTCCTGGGACCTCAGCTGCAGGCAGCAGCTCCCCCCAGCCTGGCCCACCGCTGCCGCCGCTGCGGGGCAGGCCCCGGTCCAGGGAATAGTCCAAGAGGAAGTCCCCGCACACGGGCGGGAGCCGGGGGGCCCCACGGGAGGCAGGGGCAGCTGAGCTAGGCCGGGCAGCCCGGGGAGGGTCTGGGGGGCCAGCTGTGCGGGAGGAGAAGGCAGGGGTTGGTTGGGGGCGCTCGTACAGCACCTCGCTGCTCTTGCAGACCGGGGGGCCAGCGGCAGGGGGACCCAGAGGCGCAGGCGGGGAGCCAGCTCCCCCACCGGCCGCCCGGTCCACGAGCAGGGCCTCAGAGCTGTTGCTGCGACGGGTGCGGGCTGCGAAGAGGGAGGCGCGGTCGGAGGCAGGCTCTGCCCGGGGGAAGCCCATCTGGGAGTCCTGGCTGCCGGACCACTGGCGAGAATGCAGGCCTTCGGGTCTGGGGACGCAGAGGTGGGGGTGACGGGAGTGGCCGGGCGCCCGCCGGACCCCACCTCTTCCTGAGCTCTCACTTGCGCATCTCCGGAAGGGCCCCAGGGTTAGAGACCTGGTGTATCAAGGGGTTAGGTGGGGCACACGGACAAGGCAGCGGAGGTTCTGTCCCACGCTGGGGGCAGAGGGACGGAAGACGAAAGGGGGGGTGGTTGTTAGTGCCAAAGGAGATGTAAGCGTGTGCAGCGCTGGAGAGGAAGGACTGACAGAGGAGGGCCGGCAGAGGGCTCTTCCCAACGCCTGGGGCCCCCTGCCCTGCGGGGGTGTGTCTCACAGCTCCCCGCCCCCTCCACAGTGGGGTCCTAATCCCTGGGCCTGGAATCCAACTTCCTGAACTCTCTGTCCTCCCCTCCTCGCCCCCCGTGTGTCTGAACCACCCCGAACTATCAGCCACCGTTCACAGGATTTGAGTGCCAGAAGGACAGGGACTTTGTTCTGCTCACAGCCTGGGAAAAGCAGGCGCTTAGCAAGTATTTGTTCAAGAAGTAGGAGGGTGCAGCGGTTCAAAGCACGGACTCTAGAAGCAAACCAGCCTGGGTTCAAACACCAGGTCTTCGGTCTACTACCAAGTCACTTAACCGCTCTGTGCCTCAGGCTCCTCATCCATAAAATGGGAATAACGACAGCACCTACCTGGCGGGGATCTTAGGACAATTACAGGGATCTATACCGTGCAGAACACGGCTTCCCAGCAGATGTTAGGCGCTCAGTACATGTTAACCAGGACTTAATATGCCCACAGCGTCCTTCAGAAGCAGATATTACGCCCATCTCACAGACGAGGAGCCAAGATTCAGAGAAAGGAAGTGACTTGTGCCAAATATACTTTTCAAAGCGCAGCCTCTCACATCCCAACCCTTTGCTAATGCTCTTCTAGTCAGAACTAACAGTTCTTCTTCCAGTCCTCAAACCCACCCTCAGAGTCCCCTTACTTGCAAAGCTGGGGGCCAGCGCCCCGGGTGAGGACAGGGGTGGCAGGCACGCTTCGCCCCTCAAAACTGGAGGCACTCCTGGGCAGCGAGCGCGTCGGGCTAGACAGAGATGGGCAGGCCCAGGTTAGAGACCATACCCACCAGCAGGCCCTCCTGCCCAGCCAGGCTTAGGATCCCCCTCCAGGCTTGGGGGGGGG